CCCCACAAAAAAAAAAAAGAAAAAAAAAAGAAAGAAACCAAAACAAAGAGAGCTCCACTGTAAGCCTTGGCAGCTTGATTGCTAGCAACAACTTCTATCTCATTGCATTGAATTGGCTTCTGATAGTAGCTTTGGGTAGCTCTTCCCATCTTGCCTAAATACTCTTCTAGGATTTCAAGAGCTTGTTCAGCTACCTTGTAAAGGTCTTGATGAGTTGCCATTCTTGATATACTCTAGAGATTGAAGAGTTATGAGAATTTTATTGAATGAAAACTCGAGGATGGTGGGTGTGTTTTTATGCTAGGCTTTTCTCGACTTTGTGTTAATTTCTTCCCTTGATCGTTAGTTTTGTTATTATTTTTGAGTGGAAACAATAGAGCCAAGCTCCCCCACGCGTCACTAACAAGATTTTAAGGACAACGAGGAAAAATAAGTAGTGCATAAACAAAATTTGGTCAATCTGTACTCGCAAACTGTACATCCCATAGCAAATCAAATCTGCGAAAGAACTACATTTGCAACGATCGAGGAGAGAAGGAGGTGGTCTCACAATCTATGTCTCGGCTTGTGAGTCTACTGAATCGGATAAAGTGGAGGCATCTCGATCCATCCTAACATCCTTCCTAGCAGAAATTACAGGGGAGTATAGATGCATCTCATGGACAAGTGTCAGATAAGGCAAAACCCTGTCCAAAAGTGAAAATCAGCCAACACCCTGAAGTAAAACTTGTGCACTAGTTTTCCTAGTATTTTCTGAAAAATTCTGTTATTTCGCTCTTTCCAATTATTCCAGCATATAACTGCTACAACAAAATATCCCTTGATCCTTATTCTTGTATTAGACTAAATAGGGCCTTTCGGCGTTCTTTCCTATCTCCTATTCTTTTGGAATGGGACATGCGAGCGGGTAGTGAGTGAGGAGAGCATCTGACTAAAGTAGTTGCACATCCAAATACATGACCGCGGAATATATTCTGTTTGTTGATGTGGGTGGAAGGATTGTACTTCAGTATTAAGTAAATGTGACACTGAACTAATTTTTGGATCTTTTGTGATATCTTGAAAGATAGGATGAGGATAGAGACGGCATATACAATGTTCAGGTGCAAGCTTATCTGTTACTTTTGAGTTGATACTGACAAGTAGTTGTCTGAGGGATTTTCCTATGTAAATAAATAAGTGAGTATAATTCTAAGAAATAAATCACCCAAGCCTAAGCCTGATTACTTCCATGGATTCTCGATTGGCTTAGGTTGTCTAGAATAATTGGCATTAGCTTAAATGTTTAATACTAGCTTCTTTTTGCATTCTTGAAGTACATGCAGGTTAAACTTACTTGAAAGTTACAAAAGCATCGCTTCTTAAGAGAGTTGGCGTTTCAAAATGCACTTTTTAGTGGTAGAGACGCATTGAGGGTTCCCAGCTGTTGCACATTAACCAATTTAAACAAAGGCGTAATTGTGGATTTGTTTTTTTTTTTAATAACTATGGTGGATGCGCGTTACCCAACATAATCCAAACCCCTTGCATTTTCATTAGTTGATTACGCGTCACTGTGCTAGTCCTAGCATGTGTAAAACACAATTGCCAAATCCGATTTATTTCTCAAATTACAAGAAAGCTTATATTCTGTTATAGCATATATTTTTTTCGTGGATACTGTCATAACATCATATTACATGTCAAATATTAACATGTATTGAATAAAGTTTACACCATTTTTATCTTTGACACCCTGAAGTTTTCTTTTTGCCAAAAACATCCTCCAACAAAAAAAAAAAAAAATCAACTTTGGTACTCCTGTTAAGTCACTTTAGGGTATTGAAATTACATGGTTTTGAACCTGGGGTAATTTGTGGGCCCAAAAAAAAACTTCGGGTATCAAAATAGAAAATGGTGTAAACCTTGTGGTATTTAAGCGAAGATAACCCTTTATAATACTGTGAAGTGTTCTTCATACCTTTCTCAAGTTATTTTTCTTCTCTAATCAGAAAAAAATTAGAATTCGAAGTAATTCAAGTATTAACTATTGAGTAGATTGATCAATGAGTAATGTTCCACTCTAATATACGCAATTACAACCTTTATGCTTGAGCTTTGGGCTTATTCATTTCTCTGTTAAGAGGGTTGGCGTGTTCAAAAACATCTTTTCCACATTGGAAGCTTTGTCATAGTGAAACCAGGTGCTTCTTTTTCCTTTATTTTTCTTTAACATGCTTTAGTCAGAACCGCAGAAACTTACTCTATTTTTTGTTTATATGCTGACCTGCCAATGTAATCTTTGTAGGCCAGTCAATATCTAGGTCTTCCATGAAGAAGCATCCCTAGTGTTAAGTAGCAGTAACTTCACTAGTAAGATAAATCTTTCCTTCAATTATGAGACCCCAAAAGTAGATTCTGCAACCTAACTACTGATATACCGAAGAGATTGGAATTTAGGTAGGTAAGCACAGAATCACAACACTAAGATAATATCCTGTTACTTATACTGCAAATTTCGCTGTAAAGAATAAAGTGAATAAAGAGCCTCGGAATGTTGACCACGTCAACATAAGAGCCTCTATAAGAGCCATGGCCACCCTCAAAGCTCTAAACAACCCAACACACAGTGAAATTTCTACTGGGATTTGAATGGCTCCTCAGGGAAACATGGCGAAGGTAGGGAGAGAAGCCTTTGGCATGCTGGAAGAGTACATGACTACGAAGGAAAAGCAAAAGATGGGGAGAGAAGCCTTTGACATGCTGGAAGAGTTCATGCCAACGAAGGAAAAGCAAAAGCGCCCATCTCAATCCTATGCGCAATTTTACACAACTCAACCGAAGAAGAACCCAGTTTACACAACTCAACCAAAGAAATCTGAAGCAGTGATTGATAGCAACCAAGCTGCCAAGATTTATGGTGGAGCTCTGATAGTAGGATATAAGTCCCGGCCAAAACCATCCCGTTGGGCATTCTAATAGCCAGTCTCCTATGTCTCAGTTATTGTAGATTATATCTTCCCTTCTGCAGTGTGTATGTTAGTTTTCAGTGTTTGCTGTTCCAATCTAGAAGGATATGTGTAGTTCTCTGTGATTTCTGTGCTTATCCAGAAGGGTTATAAGGTATGGTAATTTAATTATCAAGGTATCATCCATTAAGAACTATTCTTAATGCATGATTTAGGCTTTAGCTTATGCATTCTTCCTTTGTGATATTGTATGATGGAAGACGGTTCAGATTTCAGTCTCTTCCTATATCAAGAAAAGGATTAGTTACATTCAGGTTCCCTAAGTTGGTGTAATTACACGTTGCGTGCTGACATGGGTAACCTGAATATTATTTATCGTATCTACACGAGTAACCTTGAGAAGAAAAAAATAAACAAATTCAGGGGTCATCCATGTAGTTACAGTGAGTAATCTCAAGATTACTCATGTATATGCACAAACTCAGGGATCACATGTGTAATTATACCATATCTTAGGATACCTAAATGTAATTGACCTTAAAAAAGGGAATAACCATTCATATGTGAGTATCTAAACCGAACTTATCTGAATAGTTCAAAGAACAACATAGATAGTTCAAAGAACAACCTATGCACATTATTAAAGTATGCTCACTATACATCAATTCAAATGTAAGATTTTATCCCCAATAATTTAATTCCAAGTATTTTCCCCTAGAGAAGTCAGCCAACAATTGGCAAAGTACTGATGCCTGACAAAATATTACCAATCTACGACAATAATGTATCGGAATTGTTAGATTAAGTCTATTGGGTATTGGGTTAATGGGCTGTGACCCGTTAACCATACCCCTATTTGTATGACTATATATATATATAGACAATAATGTATCGGAATTGTTAGATTAAGTCTATTGGGTATTGGGTTAATGGGCTGTGACCCGTTAACCATACCCCTATTTGTATGACTATATATATATATATATATCTCTAGTATCTGAATGAATCAATTAAGTTAGGGTTTTTGCTCTCTCAATTATCTCTTTCTACATGTTCCAATTTCAAAATTGGAGGTCCAGCTTTCTCCAAGCAAGGGGGGTTTATTGGTTGAGGATTGTTGATTTGGACTCGGACTTTTTATTGGATTTTAATTTAGGGTGTTATTTGTTTTGAACTAGAATTTGGATTTAAATTTAAGGTGTTATTGGTTTAGGACTAGGATTCGGATTTGAATTTAATGTGTTATTAGTTTAGGACTAGGTTTTGA